CAGACATCATAACAAACTGATGGCCAGAGCAGTGGCTGAAGGAGTAATAAGTAGCCTTATCACCTCTCTCTTAGTCTACAGCACATACATAGACCCTGCTCACCCAGGTTAGCTTTTGGATGAGAGGGAATATTGTTTCCTCTGCATGGTGCTATGCTTCAACTAATCAGATTTTCCATCTCTGCTGGTTGCAGGGCAGGGCTCAGGGGATTAAGGATGATATGAAAAGTTACCCCTTTTCTTCCTCTATGCAGTGTTTAAGTTGCCACTTGCACTCACTTTGTCTGACAGCATCTGTCCTTCAGTTGCACAGGCTGTCTGAGCAGGCAGGAGGGCACATGCCTGTTACTGGCTGGTTTGGGAGATTTCCAGAGGAATGGGATTTCTCCCAGTTTTGGAGGACCAGAGGGAATAGCAGTCAGCCACTTCCCATGGAACCACAGATGTCACCTAGGCCACTGTACACTGTGCTGAGGTCATTTTTCCAAAACATGCCTCGACACCTCTGCTTTGTGTTATAATTTTGGCAGTTTTTCTGCAGACTGAGACTTTGACTTGAAGAGGGGAAGGCACCTTCCAATCACTCTGAGTACAACACATGGTGCCTAGAGGGTGGAGTTAAAAATCAGTGCCTGTCCTCAAAGTTTCCCCATTTGCTGCTGGAGAACTCCTTGCTCAGATTTTCAGCAGTGCTCAGAGTGGGTTCCCTGTAGCCATCTCCAGAATCACCAGGGTGGGTGCTGCTTTTCCAAACATATTCTTGCATCCCACCTTTGGATCACTTTCTGGATGGAGACTTTTGCTTTTTCTAATGAGTAAAGACTTCAGATCTTCCTTGCAAAACTTGAAAGCATTCAAAAGATCCCAGACTTTTTAAAAAAAGATTTGAGGGCTGTCATCAAAACCATAATAAATTGCCAAACCATTTTCAAAAGTTTCCAAATATAAGTGTAGCTTCAGGTCTTAAATCCAATGGGAAAAAAAAAGGGCATTTATATGAAGTTTAGCATTTCCTGGGTCTGAAATACACTTATTCTTTCTGCCTCTGTCCCTGGCTTCTAGATGTGTGAAGCTCAAAACTAGCTGTACTAACCCTTGATTCCCATTTTGCTTTTCTTAGGCAGTTATGCAATTTTTTCCTTATATCATATTAAAATTAATGAACATTCAAGCACCATTTACTCTGTTGTACTTACTTTTTCACTTTTTTGCCAGCACTCTAATAATGCCATGTTCACCTAGTAAAGAGACAGATCATTTTATGCTAAAAAGTACATTTTTCCAAGGAGCAGAGGCATTCGCTGCAGTTTCCTAGGCAAATTCTCACACGAGTAATTACATTCTGCCTACTGCATTCCTCTGCCACTTCAATTGGATATGGTGTTCCTCTTTAGTTTGTTCCCTATACTTTTGCATAACATTATCGACTACTGTTAAATATTTGCTGTCCACCTTCCCAGCAGTGACTTTGTATATAAAGGCAGTGATTGAAGTAAGTCACCAGATAAATAAAATTAGGAGCATATTCTTGTGGAATTTACCATCCAAAATACTTGTTAATCCAAATCTTCCAGATGAAAGTGTTTTTAACTATGACTAGGAAGTACAATAACTTGTGACATTGATCAGCAATATAATTAGCTGGTGTTGCTTTGAAACTAGGATTATTTTATGGTGACTTTGGTACAGCAATATAGGAGGGTCCCTGTGGGCCAAGTGTACTGGTACCTCCAAACTGTGACCACTGTTTTATAACAGAAGCTACTTTGGTGGGTGAATTTCAGCATGTTTGCTGTAAGCAGAGGAAGACAACGATCAGCACTATCCAACCCACAGGCAAAATCTGGAGAAGGAGAGGTGAGCACTCCTTTCTTGGTATGCTCACAGTAGCTATGAGTTCAGGTATGAATTGAAACAGGCTGAGACATGTTCACTAGATAATTCCAGGGAGCTTTCCACTACTCCTTCATAATCAGAGCATTTCAGAGCTCCCTGACAGAAGTAAGTCTTTTTTCCCCTCACATTTATTCAGTAATGACAGAATTGGGACCTGTGAGGCTTGTATTAGAATACTAATTTTAGCTTTTCTTTTATCCCCCCATGTTACAGAAAAAATATCCCTTAATTTGCATGGTCCTTTTCCTTGCAGCTCTTGGCCTTTAACACATTCAGTGTTGTGAATCAAAACCACTGCTACTTGCTTCCCCTGAAGTTATACCAGTTTATTTGATTTCACCCTGGACATACTCTGTATGTCACTGGGAGGGATACCAGACCCAGTGATCACATAGATCTTCTTGGGTCAAGGCTGGGGCTGTGCTGCACTCCAGGCCCACCTGCTGGCTGCACTGGGGCTGAGGTCAGGGTGGGCTTGGGAAAGCCACTTCCATAACCTGAAGTGACCAAACTTGGTGACCAAGCCACACCAAAGCCTTTGAGAAGGAGGAGAGTTTTTATGGGAAGAGAAGGAAAGCAAGGCAAGGCAAGGCAAGAATAATTTCTTCTGGGAGCTGTCATTACAAAGGAACTGCTGAATATGTCAAGAATTTACAGTTCAGATGCAGGAAATTCAGCTGAACAAATCTAAATGTGACCTGATATGGCTACTGTAAAACTAAAATAGTGAAGTATCTGACCTTATTCTGTGTGTTTCCTATAGTGGAATTTTCTTTGATAGTTCTGAAAAGCAGTGGTGTGTTGTCATTTGGTTGAGCAGTAACAGCACAAGTGGGAAACAGTGGAAAAGCTCGCATTAGGGTGAGAACTGTAGCCTTTGGTCCTGTCTTTATTCTCCTATTGGTCTTCAGGTTTGTTCAGTATCTGGCTTGTATGTGATGCCATTATGCTCCCAGATTTATGTTTCTTTGATGTAAGTGGTTATTGTTAGTCCATGCCAGGAAAGAAACAGTGGCAGCATTGGCCTGCACTTCCATAGCAGAGTCAACCAAGGGAGGGAGGTGACGGTTCCTCTGAGGTAGAGGAAGGAAAAGATGCTAAGTCTGAACCATCCATCCTTTGAAAGGAAACAGAATTCTAATTTAATTGCCTCTAAATCCTAAAGTCTGCTTGTTACCAGCCAACAGATGGTGGATGCTTACAGATCCTCCAGCCCTCCTGGTTGTTTTCCTTCCTTTTTTTCATTTTTCCTGAAGGAGATGCCAGAACTTACATTACCTCAATACAGTAAGAACTTCAGAAATAAACTCAAGCAACAGTTTTTGAACACAGAACTGTAAGACAGCATATTTTTGTGAAGTGCATATTGAGTTCAGAATTGTTTATGACTTAGTTTACTTAATCTCTTCAATTTACATGTATATTCTGCTACTTTGAACTGAGCAGAGCAAATATCCTGCTTCTTGGAACATTTTGATGTACTTAGATGATAAGGAAAAACAAGGAAAAAATATAATGAAGAAATATTTTTTGGTTTCTTGCAATGCACCGCAACTCAACACAGCAAACATTTTAAGTGTGTAAAGCTTAGAAGCTTGCTGAACTTCCTCTGCATGTTCCCAGTGTTTTAACATTCCTTTTAAGATGTTTGCCTTAAAGGATTTCACAGATGTATTGCTTTATAATTGCTTCATGTATCATATATCAAATGTCCTTTGATTTTTTCTTACTTATGGATTATAGAAATGTCCCATAATTACCATTGTCTCTAGCTTGACAAACACCAGAAAAGTGATGCTATTTGTTTCATGACAGAAGGTTGTTTTGGTCAAGAAACCAAGGACGGATCTCATTTTTTGTTGTTGTTTTATGATTTAGTGCTCCTGAAAAGAACACACACTTTTGGGCACCAATGTGTGCGTATTTTTTTATCCTTTTTAGTGCTTATTTTTTCCTGGTGGACTTACCCTGTTCTTTGTTTCATTGTATTTTTGCATGCATAGAGACAGAGACTGGTAATCTTTCATAAAATTTGAAATCTAGCAGGAGCAGGAGTGAGTTCTGCACTCTGCAAGTTTTTTTTTTTTTGTTTCCTTCCTAGAGGAAGCCTCTAACAGTGAGGTATTTAAACCTTTGCCACACCCCTAAGGCTGTGCATCCCATAGGCACTGCCCATTGCAACAAACCAGAAGATTCGTCTTTCTCCTGATGTTGCGCTAGGAGTGGAAATGTTAAGATGTGTTAAGAGCAGAAGAACACAATATAAGTCTGTAAAACCCCATTGCTACAAGGCAGCAGTGATGGTGTGATCAGCATTGTGATTATCAGAAAGAAGCACCAAGCTGCTCCCCCAGTGACACCAGCACGAGCCCAAAGTGACAGCACTAGCTGGTCAGCAGGCATGAAGCTTGTGGCACAGCAGCTGTGGGTGAGAATACTGAGTTGGGAGCAACCCAATACTGAGTGCTGGGAACATCCATGGCTCCGTTGCAGCTGTCAGACCTCATGAGGGGAAATAGGAAAGTTGGAGAGCAAGAGGAGATGCTGAGACAGGACCTCCAGGGATGGCTGGTTAACCTCACTAGGCCTCTGCCACATTCTTCACCTTCTGACAGTGCTACAACATGAGGGCAAAGGGAAATAAAAATGTTGCTATTTTACTAACAAAAATTGAGAATCACTGGTTTGGAGATCAAGAGGGGAAAGAAAGAAGTATCTTAAAAAGTGACATCTGTAAATATTTTTCCTGTCAGTATAACATTTCTTCTTTTGAGAGAGAAAAGTCAAACCCACAGGTTTCAGGAGTAAGGGAAAAGGCCACTCAGGTTTCCAGGTCAGGCTTGGGTCTCCTGTTCTGCATGTTCTCTCTGCTTGGTGTCCAGCTCCCCTGTTGGGAGCCAGGAAGGGCATGGCCAACAGGCCCAGTTCTTCTGATCACAGCTGTCCCTCTGTGCGCTTGCCTGGTGTGTGGCCCTTGCTAATGACGGCTGAAATGTTCTGCTTGTTTTTATAGAATTGTCAAATAGTTTGGGTTGGAAGGGACCTTTAAAGGTTGTCTAGTTCCAACCCCCCTGCCATATGCAGAGACAATTTCAGCTAGATTATGTTGCTCAGAACTCCATCCAGCCTGACCTTGAATGTTTCCAGGGATGGGGCAATCACCACCTCACTGGGAAATCTCTAGGTTCCAGTGTTTTACCACCCTCATCATAAGAGGATTTCTTCCCTATATCTACTCTGAATGCCTCTTTTAATTTGAAAACATTACCCATTGTCCTATCACCACAGGCCTACCAAAAATCTGTCCCCATGTGTCTTGTATACACCTTTTAGGTATTGGAAAGCTGCAACAATATCTCCCCCAGAGTCTTCTCTTCCCCAGGCTGAACAGCCCCAACTCTCTTCATCGGAGAGGTACTCCAGCCCACTGATCATCTTTAAGGTCTCCTTCTGAGCTTGGCTCAATGTCCTTCCTGTGGTGAAGACTTCAGAGCTGGATGCAGTACTCCAGGTGGAGTCTCACCAGAATGGAGCAGAAGGCCGGAGTCACCTCTCTTGACCTGCTGGCCATGCTGACATTTTAAATTTTTTTAGCAATGAGCACTTCCCCTTTGTGCAAATAGGGGCCACACAGACAGTTTGATCATTCTTCTGGTTTTAGTAGGGTTCTTCAGGGGTTTGGACCACACATATGCTTTGCTGTTCAACTCTCATCTCCTGGGTGCATGTGGATGTTTCAGGGGCAGCCATTTGTCTGTGTGCACACCTGGCTAACTGGGTGCAGCTATATGGCCATCGGCCGAAGGTCTGCAACACTCCCCTTGCATCGGACTCAGCTTTCAAGAGCTTATTTGACTGCTAGGTGTCCTGGCATGGTGGATGCAAGGCCCAACCCACTCAGGGAGGGTTACATGGGAAGTGCCAAGCACCATTACCATTACATGGATTTTCTCAAGGCAAGAGAGGTCTTCTCCTAGCTCAACAAACCTCCTATAGGATTTTACCCCAATCTCATTTTACAAAGTTGCTCTTGAATGACAATGCAAGACCGTAGTCCCCTTGCTGTAGTCTGAGCTTTTCAGTCCACATGAGCCATGACTTTCTTTCTGGCTCCCCTTTGACAGACATGTAGAGACGTATCTTGTAGTGGATGCCTTTTCCCAAGAGATTGTTCTCCTAAATATGCCACATTACAGTCTAAAAATCCAGACAGGCCAAGATTTTCTTAGAAGTACTGACCATCAGATCTAAGAAAGTGAATTGTTTTGATAATGGAATGAAAATCTCCTTGTTTTTTTAAAAAATCAGTTTACAAAATGGAGACCGTTTAGTGGGGAGGGAGCGGAGAATTAAGTTTAGAACTTAATTCCTCCACACTCAACAGGCTCATTTACAGGAAGAATACAACAAATCTCTTGTTTTTGCAGCACAAGGCCTTTATACAGGTAAACACGTTGAGAATGCTGCCTGTAGTGTTTGCCCAGCTAAACCATAAAGAATTCCTGGTAGCAGAGGGGATCTAGTGCCATTGCCCAGCCCCGGCAACCTCTACTTTCCTCCTGCCTCCCTATTGCCAGGGGAGGGAAACTGCCAGTCACCCTATTCCTCTGAAACTGTCCAGCAGGTTTATTCTGAGTACAGACAGAGTGGTCTTCCATTTTGCAATTACAGAAACAAGAATATCCTGTTGAGTTTCTCACTTTCCTCCCTTCCCCACTGCCACCGCTTGGTATGACTGTAAGGAATATAAATGGAACAGGAAATTTGACCACATCCAGGATCAATGTCATTAAAGACACATCTTGTTTTAAAATCTAATTTTATATAACTGCTGTGTTATATAATATGCTTTTGTTTGTCGTCTTGATTTTTATCGAGGTAGTGTACATTCCCCTGGACCTTTTCATGAAGGAATGTTTATACCTGTGGGCAGGCACTAATGGCAGTGAAAGGCTTGCATTCACGGGAACAGCATTTAGCAATTCATGGTTGCCAAGGTAAGCAACAAAGGCATGCCCTCTGCCACTCCACTGCCTCTAAAAGAAACAGTCTCTAAGGTAACAGGCTAGCACCCCTTGAGGCCAAAAATCTTTAGCTTTTTAGACAGAAAACGCACTAAATAATACCAAGAAAAGCATTTTTTTTTGGTCAAGGAATTTTTTTTCTTCTCAACAGAGAAGGGGCTCAAAGTGTTCTATTTTTGGTTCTGCACAGGAATTTAATTCAGCTGCTGCCCAGTCTTTGTGCACTCAACACCCCTTTGACAGTTTGGTTTCGGGGGCACATAGGACTAATGAGCCAAGGCATGACTGCAGTTGGAGACTGTCGCCTCCCAGGCCTGCGACTGTTGTTCAAGTGAATAGGCAATTTCTCTGATTAGCTTGGAATTTGTGGCATTAGCCAGATGGTTATTTGGCATGAGCCCTTTTTCCAGGATCACAGTCAATTTGAGAGATTGAATCACCTGAAGAAAAGGTCTGCAGAGACAGCAGTGGCTAGATGCTGCCTGTGATAGGATGGGAGAATGGGCTTCTCCTTGACTTCATCTTGCTCTGCAGCTGCTTGCCAACCTCTTTTGTCTTACTGTACCAAAAGGGAAGAAGTAGGTGAGTCATCACATTTTCCTAGTGAGAGACATTAATTGGGAGAAAAAATAATTAACTGGGAGAAGAGTAAAGGGCTTCTTTTTAAAACTGAAGTCTAACAAAAAGGGAAGTGCCAGATATCTTTCTGCTTATGTTGGTGTGTCAGAGACTCACTGCATGCTGAAGACAACTTGTCTTTGCAGGACATTTGTATGACTTACATGGGTACAGTTTGCTGCATTGGGGAAAAGAAAAGAAAAGAAGCATTTTCTGGAATATTTTTTCTTTCTAAATGACTCAAGTTATCGAAATTGCTTGACAATTGTAAAGTTGCAATTCATGGACTGTAACTGGGTATTACAGGACCTGATGGATGTAATATGTCTTTTTATACCTGATGCAGTTTCTGCAGCTCCTATGGTAGTAACAAAGGTCTTAGAGCTGCTCATGAAAGGAGAGATGTGTCCTAGAACCCTTCTGCAGCTTGTTCAACAGACTTGATGCTGATATTAATAAGTTTTTACTCAGAACAGGGGCAGGTTGATAATCAGACCTAGCTGTATCTTCAGGTGTTCAACACATGCCTCATTTCAGCCAGTCTCTGTGAATCAGCTTCAAGTGGTTGAGATAACTTACACCAGTGCAAGGGAAAGATGATTTGCCTACTTTCTACTCAGTCTGACAGAAAGGTTGCTGCCCTCACTGCATTCAAAGAAAGGATACACGATGCTGACAATTCACTTTGTTTACTTTCATTTCATGTTCTATAAAGTAATTATGGTATAACTGTAGACTTTCCTATTATTTAAAGCAAAATAGCACAGAAAAGATTAAACAAGGAAGTGAATTGTAATGTCATCCACCCACAGAACACCAACAATGTGAAAATTTATTATGGAAAAGTTGCAAAGTTGAGGCCATGCCACTAAGTATCCAGACACTCTTTTTAAGTTCAGCACCTTGTCATGTTCACATTTTGACGCTGCCCACATTCACATGCCGTCATGCAACAGAGGTCCTGTTCCATTTGAGGCATAGATTGACTGGTGCTCACTAAAGAAGAAACAATTTGATATTTGTTTATTGCACATCTTTATTCACATCTCAGATGCAAAAAAGGAATTAAATGTCATCTAAGGTAGGATGGAGACATGTTGCCATCTGAGCAATCTGTGCCTGTCTTCTGAGGAAGCAATATTTTAAGCAATAGCTTAGTATGCTTAGCACATGCCCACAGCACTGAGCCGGGCAGTCATTGCTACTTCCAGCTAGAGCATGACCAAGCTGTGAAATGAGTTTGGTCAGGAAAACAAAGCACTGAGTCTCTATTTTCTTACACATTCCCATGAATTTCCCTATAGATTTGGCTGAAACATTTCAGAAACTTTCATCTTGAAGAGGATATGCCATATGCAAAACTTCAATTTGACACAATTTTAACTAACAGAATAGAAGTTCTTGAAAGCTGGTATTTGAAAACAACAGTAGTAATAGGGATCTGTATTAGACTTATCATGAACTAGCAAATAATAAGAGAAATAAATTTAAAAAAAACAGTTTTTCAAAGTTCTGGCTTCAGTTCATTTCCTTGAACTTAGTGTTGATATTTTTGTTGACTTCACAAAGTAAGTTAACACAGGAACTGCATTTTCTGTCTATATTTATGAAGTATTATTTTATATCTAAACGATCATTATTAGCTGAACAATCTAAACACTTTTCCATCTCCCTCCCCCCCTCCCAAAGAACCATTATGTTACTATGAATTTTCCCTACTATGAAAAGACAGAATCTTGGGAAAAATAAAGTAAAAATTGATTGCTCATACTTTGACAATGTGGTTTATAAAGATTGTTTTCCAACAACTATAAAATACTTGCATTTCCCTGGGAGAAAGATGAAAATATGTAACAACCATTTGCTTAACAGCTCTTAACTGTAGCTGGAAAATAGATTTGTTTCATATGACCTAATTACCATCGCATTTGTCTCATATTTTTGATTTGTGCTTTAGCAGATCACAAGGCACAGTGTACACATGCATTTATATAGCATTTATATAACATGACATAACCTGACCTATTAGAGGCTGATCCAAAATTCAGCTAGGTCATGAGGAAGACTCCTCGCTAAGCATCATTCTATCCCTCTTATGCTCTGAGCAGATCTTTTACCCCTAATTTACTACTTATATTTCAGTAGCTGCTCCCAGAGTAGGTACAGGGACCTAGTTAATGAGATTCTTTTTCATATTCAGGTTTTATTCCACCATTTAACACAAAGTTCGCCAAATATGAGATTTCAAATAATCAGTGTTTTGTACAGCAGATGGCTACTGGAGCTTTTAGAATACTCTTCCTATAATATTTAAATTGAACTAGTGCCCAAATATTTTTTTCCCAAAGGTGGCAGCTTCCAGTTTACTTTCAGTTTAGTTTCACATGCAGGAAAGCCTAGCCTCTTATTCAGACCTTATCTAAATAAGTCAAGATTGAAGAGGAAGCAATTTGAATATAAGAATTCTAGGACAAGTTTCCAATATTTCTTGTCCCAATTGCCACTACCACAGTTTTAGTTTTTATTTTGTAGTATTGGCATTTATTTCCCTGTCTAACCCAGATCTGGAAGAGAGGAAGTCCAAAACATTTGTAAAAAAAGACCAACCTAACATTTTAGGAAGTGAGACAAGCTTTAGGCAGTACTGACTCTAAGAATAAACAAAGACGTTCAATTTTGCTTCAACTGCTTTTCCCTTCTTCACCTCAGCATTGGTCAGGAAATCTCAAGATATTGAAAAGCAGACCTCTTAGATGAACAAAGACACATATAATGATGCCAAATGAAATATTTATTAGCGGATGGAAAATAATAATCAACTGTGTTATCAAGGATAATTAATTTTATAGTAGTAGATACTCATGGGGAATGAGAGGAGCCCTTCTCTCAGACCAATGTACTTATGGATACACTGAGTTCTGTCTACTGAAGTGTTTCTCTGAAAATGCTCATGTAGGCCATGATTTTTTTCTCCTTCTGTCTTAAAAATGTTTAATGCATTTATAGATAAAAATATCATTAAATATTGTTTTTCTTTCAATCCCATGGGCTATGAGTATGGTTGATAAGTAGAAGTTAGTATCTTATCCCTGTGCACTACTGCTTTCCCAACCACAACTAACTTGCATCATTGTTGTAACTCCTTGTGGTTCTTTCCTGCTATTTGGGCTTCTAAAGATCTCTCCACTTCTCTACATTAATGTCTTACTGCAACTAGGACTGGTTTAGAGGTGATGATACATGAGCCAGGAAGGGCTCCACCTTATTTTCAAACCAAGAAACAACTCAATGACCTGACAGCTAAAACCACCTTTTGCTTTTAAACTGAGAAAAAGTGATGGGAAGTCACTGAGAGACAGTAAATGTGAGCTACTTTTAAATTCCAACCTAGCTTTAAATGGTGCTTTGACAACACACAGAAAACTATTTATTTTGGGATTTACAGGACTTCTGCAGAGTTGGTGCAAATACAATGAAAATTGTAATGTTTACATAATCTATAAATAAAACAGTAAAGGAACCCAAGTCCCACCAGGATCACAAGTCAAAAAGGAGTAGGAACAAACAAGATAATTAAAACATGGATTGGTTAATTTTTTTCCCTTAATAAACAATGAAGTCCTTGATATACTCATATATACATTCAAAACACAGAGAAAATGAAAATGTTTATTGAGTTCCATTTCCCAAAATACTACAAACAGGAAGCAGTCAAAGGTTTCACAGAAAGGAATGAGTTTCTTGGGTTCACACATAGATTTCTTAAGAGACTGGGTTAGGTCCAAGAAAGGCACAAAACCACTCAGATAGCATTTTCTAGAGATAAAATTATTCATAAAATACAGCCTTTCAGACAGAAACATAGTGTAAAACTACATGTAAGAAATTGCCCACATGAATATCTATGTATTCTTGCTCACTCACCCAAAACATAAAATCTTCACTAAAAAATGTGACCTCATTATCATATATAGTAGAAAAGTGACTCTTGATAAACTGAAATTGAAAAATATCAGCCTCAAGTTTTTGAGGATGCCAAGGGAATTACATATTTTGATTCTTAATTTTTCTCAAGATTGTTTTTGACAGTTCACTCAACACTAATGGAGATGCCTCTAAGTTCTTTGGATTCAATGCAAAAGACACTTTCTTTTCCCAAGAATCTACTTCCTATAAAATGTAAATGTTTCCATTTCTAATCTTCAAAGTAAATTACAGCCAATGAAGGGGTATTGCAAAAAGTTTCATTAGGCTTGTCTCCAGAGACACAGGATTAACAAAAGTCTGTTTTTCCTGTATACATCCTAATGTATTTATGGTAATAGTATAATTATTTTTTTTTTAATACACTGCTGAGGGAGTCACCAAATATACAGATAAAGCAAGATTTGAAAAGTGAAGATAACTTTAATAGAATCAATAAGGTTTGATCTGGGATTTGAGAAAGCTGAAGTGAATGACCGGGAATGCTTAAATTGCTTACACTTCCCACAATGTTGGCAGGAAATAATAAAACACATTAAAAAATTCCACATGATTTTCATTAAATACCAGTAGAACTCAGGCATTCCATTTCTGCCTAACTCGAAAAAGGAAATATAAACTGTATCTTTCTTTATATAGTATGTATAAGGCTGAAGAAGACTTCCAGTCACTGCGAGCTATGCAGAATGAGAACATTCTTCTTTTTTTCCTGCTGGTATTATATATTCTGCTTGAAGGAAGGCCTACTGGAAAGGCTTTGGAAAGGTGTATTTTGTTTTTCAGTTGACCACTACTACTCAGAGGGTTAGATAAGGGATGTAGATTCTGGAAATGGCAGGCTGTGTGCCAGGAATCACAGATTAGACAGCAAGTGTTTATGCATTGCTACATTTCCAGACTCTCATAAAAATGGGTATAAGGCACCATTTCTAAGGCTAGTACCAACAGAATAGAGAAGATGGTGAGACATAGCTTGAAGTATTTGGCCTAGGAAGTTTGCAGAGTGTTTACCAGTTTTTTTACGCCATAATCAGTAAGTTTTCCAATATCGGCATGGAAAACTCATGACCATTAACTAAAAATTTTGGTTCTCTAGGCTTTATCAACAAATGCCTACTCCTGAGTATGTGTTTAGAGTTTACACCTGAGCTGCTGATAAGTGATTTCCAAAAGCCCTTGTGACTGCCTTTTCCCACTTTCAGTGCAGTCAGAGAAAACTTAACTTCAAGTTTTAATACATCCTTCACAAAGCTGATTTAAGAAAACCTGGTTTTGGATGCTGTTTCTCTAAATAATTTTTTTCACAACCCACCAGTAACTTCCTGATGAAGTGTGTACTTTGACACAGATCAAGAAAATGTGGAAATCAATGGGACAGTTAGTACCAACTTGCTGAGAATAGTCAGGCACTTGGAGTTTTGAAGGTATCAGGCCAAGAGTGGCAGGGGTAGCTGAAGACCTGTCACAACATTGTTCCTGGACTTTCAAGTCCCTCTCATCAGAGCAGGTACCTAGACTTGCTTGCAGAGTAATGACCAAGATTGGAATAACCTACTGGGATCAAACAAAAGCTAAAGGCAGGAGCTCATTGTCGCACCAAATTCTGATCAGCTCTTTTTTAAGGCTATGGAAAAAATGAAAAAGTTTTCGTTTTTATTTTGGTAAGGAGAATATTCTGAACCAGTCAACCTTTTGGAAACTTTCAGAAATCATGCAGAGCCCTTCAGCAGACAGGATGTGCTCAGTTGTCATTTGCAGGACCACCTATAGCTAATTAGGAAGAGGAGTTGAGAAGCTAGCTGTTAGTTAGAAATGCCAGAGGCTACAGATAGGTCTACACTGTAGTTCAGGTGCTAAGTCTGTTTTCATACTCTTACCTCTGTTCATTTTCTCCCATGGAAAACAGAAGTTTGAGCTGCCCTTTGGAAGAAATCAAGTTTTCCCTAAGATGAAATCCACTAATTATTTTGGGGATAATTTATTTTCAGACAAACTAGTTCAGCTTGTTCAGCTCTATGCAGTTTTTCTATGTAATTCTAGCAAGGTCATTCTCTTAACTACCCCTCACTAACTCATAACATGCTCCATGGCGCGCATTACTTGCACATCAAGCTATAAAGACACCACTGAATAAAATAATTATGTCTTAGGCTGTGGGGGCTTCCTGTGAACTCCAGAGGAGACAGTAGGTGAGCATAGCCCTGAGTAGTATGGATGTGAGTCACCCTGTGCCACCTGGTGTAGGATTGCTCCCTGAGGGGAAGTCTGTAGTAATATGGCTGTAGCTACTGCTACAGAGATAAAATTGAGAGTTCCTAAGCCAGGGAAGAAAGAGAGGAATTTGAAAGGATCCTCAGATGAATTAGTAAGATCTTAAGAGAAAAAATATTTACAATCTATTCAGACATCCAAAGGGATGAGGAATGAAAAGCACACCAGTTGCAAAGAAGCTCATTCTACTTCTGCCAATTCTTCATTGTAATATGCCTCAACCAGGCCCCAAATAGAGATTTGCTCTACCATAATTCCTGCGTTCACTTACCATTGAAATATATTTATTGCTGGTGGTTAGCAGCCAGCCTTTGAAATGGAGCACTAAGTGCCTCATTTTTATATTATTTAGTCAGAAAAAGTCATAATTTAACTTTGTTTTGCAAGTATTCTGACAGACCAAGGAAGGCTTTCTTTATTTTGCTGTCCAGCGGTTGGGTGAATCCCTTGTAGAACATTTGGCATCTGAGCACTTGAGTGTTAAATGCAGCATCTTTTCTCCTTGAGCAGGGTGATGTGCAGTGAAGGCTCAGCCCTCCTTCCTTCCCATATCCCAGATCCTCGGAGAGAGAAGAGGCAGAACAGTTCCTCAAGCCAGCATGACGCTTTGCTTCAGAGACACTGTAGGAAGGACTGTGCCATTCTGGCAGAGATGAAGAACAATTATTCTTTCTGTTGTTGAACCTTCTCTTCAGGAAATGACATGTACCAGGGAGATGAATGATCTTGAACTTTATGTGTGTCCGGCACATATGCCACCATCTGGGATATGCCACCAACTATAGGAAGCAACCTATGTGAAAATGAAGAATGTGCTACAAATGCAATGGTCTTTTTCAAGAATTTCTGCTTCCCAGAGAAATTTGAAAATCCTGCTTCAGCACCAGCTGGGCTATGGTAGGCAGTCTGGCCAGGAATATTGGCAGAAATGTGAAATCTCTTCAGTCCCATGCGTGGTCTTCTAGCAACCCATGTGGAGGCGATGTGGTGTTTGCAGGTAATGCTGCTTGGCAACTTGTCTGCCCCAATCACATAGTCTGGAAGGAAAGGGGATTGGTTTGGGCAGGTTTGGTGGGTGCCCTCCTATTTTATTGGCTTCTTTCTTAGCAATAGAGGTATAAGGAACTGAAGGATCTGTTGCAGATACGGAAGAAATCGTGTGCATTTACACTAAACTTTAATTGGAGGCTATTAACATACAGCATTTGACCTGCATAGGAGGAGCAGTGCAAAAGAGAAGAATAGTTTTTTTGCATGCCTTCACTCCCAGGAGAGAACACAAGGGGAATCATGCCAGATTTCTTCTTGGTGCAATTGCTCTGCTTACTAGTTTGGAAAGTTGGGGGTTTTTTTTGTTGTAATGGATAATATTGAAATGCTGAGACAGGGAAAAAAAAAAAAGCCTGAAACTGTTCGACAGGCTGTTATAGTCTTATAAATTTAAATAGTAAAGTAAATAAAGTATTGTGTCTGGCAGGTCTCTTTAGCTGTGATAGACATTTATAGTTTTGAGTACAATGGATATTGTTAGCCATCACTTTACCTCCTCAAAACCCCTCCATTTACTAAAAGTCTGGTTGGAATAATGACCCTAAATTAATGATAATAAAAACAGTTCTACAACCACTCCCCAGTTTTGTTTTAATTGTAGAAATCTTAGTTTAATATGCAAAATTTTATTACAAGATCTTACGGCTCTTATTCAGAAAGGCTTTTCTTCCTTTTTGAGAAACTAATTCCTTTGCAGAGTTCATGCATAAACACTTCTGTGTACTTCAAGATCTGCGAATGGGTCATTTGGTTTTTTCACTACTACTACTATTAATTATTGTTATATTGTTTTATTTAATTTTATTTTTAGCTGCTCATGCTTCTACGTGTAAGTACTTCCAAAGTGAGTAAAATTGCTGAGATGGGTATCTCATTCAGAGAAAGTAAGTAGACTTAAAATATGCATAACTTGCTTCAATAATCATGGGACATTCTACACTGGCACAGCTTTCCTTGTGCCCTCTTCCTCACCTTTCTTCAACATATGCTGTGGCACATCCTGGAAGAGAAGTCTCCCACCACCACTCCCTTGATATTGATATAAAGGCAGCTTCACATCCACCCAGATTCTTGCCTTTCCTCAGTAACCATGAAAACACAACATCCATCTTTTCCTCTCTCTGACTGTGTCTTTGGACTTTGGGCCAGGTAAGAGTATGAGCTATAAATTGAAGAGAATTATACAGCTGGGTAAATAAAGTGGGACGAAAGGGAGATAAAGGGAAAGCTCTGTGTTTCCTATCACAGAGCTTAAAAAACAGACTTGGCACACAAGGGGAAAAAATAAAACAGGAAACAAGTTTCTACATATAAATTAGACTTTTTCACCCTCAAACTTTTTAGATAGCCCAGGAGTAATAAGTACGTGTGTTTCTTGGACCAGCAAAGCAAGCATTCCAACACTAAATGGCTTCCTGTTCAACACGTTCAAAGCCAGAGACTGTTTTTGGGGGTTGGTTAGAAATATGTGTGAAGTATGCACTTTTACTTCAGGCCAAATCAAATGTTTTTAATCTCCCTCCCATCCCCCCCCTCCCCCAAAAAAAGAAAAAGAAAAAAGTCAAAAAAGGAAAATGTGACCCAAGTTTTCTCTTTCACTAAGGAAGTTCAATGATTAGCCTTCAGTTAATGTGCAAATATTCTCATTTCCCTGTAAAGATACTTAAAAGGGAACTGGCCAATGTCATTCTACACTGGCATTTGATGCTGTTGAACTATAATGAGTAGGTGCATACAGGAGCTGAGGAACTTGGACCCATGCAAAGACAGGAAAACAGCAAATATTTTAGGGTGTGAAGTGTGTTACAGAATTTTCCCCCATTAGTGTCAAAGCTATAATTCACAAATTGTTGATCCATTTTCTTCTTCTACCACATCAGCCTCAAATATTATTTGGTACTACATTTTGTTTATTCATATATCTTTTGAATTTTGTTTCCTTATTTTTAGGTTTACAAGATTTGATTACATGGTCAAAAGTCAAAGTAAGACACATGGGAAAAAAACATGGGGCACCGTATGCCATGGATGTGCCAATGTGAGGGGGTTTTCTAGTTCCTCAGTGAAGCCACAGGGTACTTTTTGAAAAAAAAGAACCAAAAAACCAAAAAAAAAACCAACACAAAAAACCAACAAACCAGAAAAGTACACCTTTTCATTTTTCCTTACAGCTGGCAGGCAATAGGTATGTCTAACTAACCTAGACCTCAGTTTGTCCCTTTCTATAATTTCAGTAATTATTGCTTCTAGCAACATATTTTCTGCCAACTCCAAGGAAACAGAAGCCATGTAAGTGGTAGCCAACTATTTTCTTTTAGTATTTTTCTCATTCCAGTGTTTTTGAGCAAACTCAGGTTCTAAACACTGTTCTGTTTCAATATTTGAAGAATGCTGTGTACTGAGTACTCTCCAAGTTGGTATGTTGTTGTGAGGCATCAGTCTTGTCTGTTGGTCTCTTCCCACCTCGAATGAACTGAGCTGCATATTTTGTTTTGGTTCTTTCTGCCGGATTTTTATAAAAACCTAACCAACCAAGAAAACAACCAATCCCCCTTTCTTTCCCCCACTGCTGGGTCCTCATGAACATTTAGGTTTGGGTTTTCACTTGATGAAAATGAGTCCCAGGCAGAGTCCCATGCCTCACCTAAATCAGTAAAATTTGACTTGTGCTAATTTGCACCAGAATAAGCCAGGGTTTTGTTTAGGCCCTGCCAAATATAATACTCTTTTCAGAGGTTCTGCTGAAGACAGAGCTAATGAAGTTAGTGGAAGTTAATGAATGCTAGATCACTGACAACTCATCCCTGGGCCTCTGTGTACTTCAATATCATACCATACTTAATATCCAGAGCTGTTCCTGGGAGTGAGGAGGACAGAGGGAGAAATGACTGGTAAAGGATAAGTTTCCCTCCTTGAAAGTCCAGCTTCCCCAAGAATGGGAGGGAATTTAGTTTCTACTGATTCTGTGGCAGCTGCTCAGTGAGGCTCTTCTGCTACTTCCCTGGAGCACTTAAATTCAATTTCAGTTCAACTCCATTGTCTTCTACCCTTCAGACTCCTTCCTTCCCAAAGGGCCATTTGCCCATATTCCCAAAATAAAACCACTGTGTTTGCTTGTTATTCTGAACCTTGCAACTTTCTTTCCCTGACCTTCACCTTTAACAATTTAGAGTCTCTCCTTGTTTGTTCTCATCTAATACCATATTTCAATACACCAGTAATTTTTCTGGTGTGTTAAATCAGTCATTGGCAAATTAATATGAATTTGTAGGAGGGGAATGGCTTTAGGTATGTCCTATGGAAACTTCAGGGTCCAAGCTTTCTGAACAGTTGTGTTGGCCAAACTTCAGGCTCACAGCAATAATCAGTATCAACAGATTATAATGCAGGACCATACACTTTGATATAACCCATATGTTTCTTGTAACTCAGCCCATTCTTCTAAAATTGAAACACAAACCTTTCATTTGCAACAAGAGAAAATAAAGATCTGAGAAATATTATGAAGAAGCACATGAATTTTACATCTGAGCTGTAACAGTTACTCCTGGGCTGCCCACATATACACTTTTGAGGGAGGACAAAAATAGAGCATGAAAAAGGGAAGGAAAAAAAAAGAGATACAGAGAAGGAGAGAGAGAGAGGAAAGGAAGGCAGGAAGGCAGGAAGGAAAAAGAAAGAGAGAGAAAGAGAGAAAGAGAAAGAGAAAGAGAAAGAGAAAGAGAAAGAGAAAGAGAAAGAGAAAGAGAAAGAGAAAGAGAAAGAGAAAGAGAAA